GTACTCTTTTTCTTTCTTCCAGGTTTTATCCCATTGGGTTTTCCTGGCAAGGTTTTAATGAGACGGTTTTTAATCTATGCAATACCATTTTCAGATACACAAGAATATTGTACTTTTTTTCCTTCGCTAGGGTTTTGTCCCACTGGGTTTTCCTTAGTAAGGTTTTAACGAGGCATATTCTTAGTGTAGTATTGTGGACCCCAAGGGGGAGTGTTATATATGTATGTATGTGTTTTGTGTTGGGTCCACATGTAATTAAAACAATTGATGATGTCATCAATGAGGACATCTTTTGGTTGGTGTAGGGAGCAAGCTCACTGTGGCATATTGAAGAAGCCACATTTTGGAGCCTATAAAAGGCTTTTCCACTTTCTCTCTCTCACTTTCTCTTTTTAAGCTCTCACTCATTATTACTCTCTCTACATAAATATATATACATATATTTATTACATTTACGTACTTATTTATGTATTTTTATTTGTTTTTGTATGCACATTACAGTATATTTTATTGGATGACCAATTAATTTGTATAAGGCAAATATATCCCAAGAATTTTTGTCATTTTAATTTTCAGTTATTACTTTCTTCTTCTTTTTTTAATTTTTGAAAGTGAAAATGATAAAAGAAATTCAAAAATCATTTCAAATTTGTTTTATACTTTCTATTAGAAATGACTTCGTATTAAGTCGTTCCATAGGAATAAGTGCTTTAGTAAATTGTCACATGGATTAAAATAACTGCAATACGGACATTAAAAAAATTTACCCAAAACTCATTTGATTTAGTAGATGATTGGATATTTTCAAGTTTTACATGCAAGTTTGATCCACTGCTCAAAAGCACTTCTACTTTAAAAACTCTTTTATTTAACTGTATCTTTTACCAGGGGAGAAAAAAAATGGTTACTGGTGAAGAATTTTGATTTTAAGAGAACCTTTTATTGTAAACTTAATTTTAATACCATTTTAAAAATAAAAAAAAATTGCTTTTGAGTATTATTTTCATTTAAATAGGGCATTTGGTCCACATAGGTGTAACATCACGAATAGTTCCACATCAACATAAAGGTGGAAGAGGCATATCCGGGTCTTCTCCTAGCTTTGACAGCCGTTTTCAACGTCATGTCTAACCTCACGATCATAATAAAATATTCAATAAGAAGATATGACCATGGTCTCTCTAGTTGCGCGTAGCAGGGCCGGAATAGCGAATGACTAGCAAAGAATGGAGTCACCAACTTCTGTACTATTAATAAGCAGCCGCACTAAGCAAAGTGACCTAAATAAAGCAATACTCAAAAGCGTGCAACATGATAAGCATTCATAACTCCATCAAGTTGGTTGCAAGCAAAATTAGAAGGTCATATTCGTGTCCGTCCAAAGATGATGTTTCACGTGTGGTGGTAGCCTTTATCATGAAACCATATTGGTTTCTGCCTTTATCATGAAACCATATTAGTCATGTTAGGAAACGTGCAAGTTTTAAAAACTTTTTGATGAATTTTCATATGATCTTAATTCATCACATAGAGACAAGTTTTATACAAAAATAAAATATGATGTATCATTCAATTAATAGATTGAATACTTACATCAAAGGTTTGAGTAAACCTTTAAATCTTTCTTCTAAAGTGAATGTTTTCACTTATTGTAGATTCATTAACTAGATGCTTTCTCCTTAGATCTTCATCTTTTTTGTAATGGTTTTGCCTTTAAGAATCATCCATAAGTCTTGATAAATGACCTTGGAGACAAGTCTTGTGGTAGCCTTCTTTAGAAGAGAAAGCAAACCCTAAAATCTAGAGAGAGAAAATATATTCTTTCTTTTCTTCCAAAAGTCACACCTAAAATGTACATGGACCCGTGTATATATAGGCAATATGAAGATAAGGAAAGGAAATAATAAATCATTCTCAATCTCTAATTCACATATCTCAATTCTAATAGAACTCCAATATCAACTTGGGCTATGGGTAAGAATCCTTTGGGCTTACTATTTTCTTGGCTACTATAAATTAATAATTGGTCTGGTCCATTAAACCATGAACCCAATTCAATTACTTCATAAATTAATTTCTACTCCAGTAAAAGAAATTAATTGTACTCCAATTAAATAGTAAATAACCTCTAAGTTAATGTTGCACTTTGACCCCTCTATGCATAATTAGTTATCGGATAAATAAAGCCATCAATGCGACTACTTAATTAATATATTTATTTTGGTACCTTTGATTATTTCCGGTTTAATTACAATAAAACATTTGTTTGACGAAAATAATAATTTAAATAAATATATATATAATAAATCATTTTGTCTAAAAACACACGAAGGCCTTCGAATTTACTTTGTGATCAACCATAATCAATACAAAATAAATATAAGTAGCAATGATGCAAATATTGAAAATATAACCCTCTAACTATTAATTACATATTTTTCCAAAGTGTCGGTTTATGAATTCCGAAGATTCCGCCTAACAAATTAAAGTAATTACTAATTAATAAAAGAGTCTATATTTCTCTTATACTTAAGAGTCAAATCCCATGACGGTGATAGGGAACAATTGCATACGACAGCTCTCGCAATATATCTCAACCTAATGCTGATCCAGTTCAAGTCTTAATTAATAATGAGTCCATCCATAATTACCGACTATGAACAATTTATGATTACTATTTATATTCATGTGTTGATCGCCATCACATACATATATAAATATCTATTGTAATCAAGTGGATACTATCAATTCTATAATGAATCGAAACATAATACATTGAATTCATCAATTGTATAAATCATAAATATTTCAGATATATCAGGAACATATGTCACTAAAATCCAAAAAGGAATTTGCTATCTCAGGGCATATATATCCCAACAGGTCATCCACGTGGCATGCATCCAACCGATGGTGTAATTAAACACTATAAATAGATATCCCTATAAAGAGATCAAGATCTTGCACCAACGTTAACACAATTTAATATATACATAATTTTTTTTTATATAGCATTAATACTACTGATTTTTCCTTTTTGAGCTATATACTTATGAAAATTTTATATTCCCCCCCCCCCCCCCCCACCGCCCCGAAATTACAAAAAAATCACACTATTGCCCCCTTACACAACTTCTTGGGTCCGCCCCTGATTCTACAAGGCATTATTTCTTATATTATATGTATAATTTGATTCTAGGAATTATCATTATTTCTTATTATCATGGAGATATCCTCTTCATATAATTGTAATCCAACATTGTAAATCTATTCTAAAAATACAAATGGATGCAGTCTTTTTGGGTAATGCAAATCATATCATTTCCAATCTCTGGTAGCACATCGCCCTCCTCTCATTCCTTTACCTTTGGCGTCACCACTCCTAATTCATCTTTCTCGACTGCACCTAGCTATGTCCACTTCCACCCTGCTTCAACACTTCTCGCATCTTTTCTCAATTAAATTCGACCGCTCCAACTATATCTTATGGAAAAGTTAGTTTTTTCTATTTTTTGTTCGATCTCATAATCTCCTCTATTAGGTCGATGGGACCTTTTCCCCACCATCGGAGACCATTTAGAAAATTAATGATAAAGGTGCTCTTATTACTGTCCCTAACCATGTATTTACGTCCTAAACTCGCACTAATAAATTTCTCTTAATTAGCTGGATCAATGTCACCCATATAATATGTTACGACAAACACAACAAACTTAAGATAAAACCAAGAATCACAACAAAAAATAAATAAGTTACACAAAAAAATACAACAAAATTATATGTGGTTCAGCAATACTTACGTCCACTATAGAGATCCAGTGAAAGCCTTCACTATGCGAAAAATAAAAGATTGCAAATTTCAGTCCCTCGCTATTTTTCTCTGCAATTTCTAGTGTCTCAAAATCTCTACCCACTCCAAACCTTAAACAGCCTTATATGTTGGGCTATTAAAGATAACTAATTAGGGTCCATGACCCACAAGCAAAAAATGGGCACTGAATTTGGGCCACGAGAAAGTCTACAATACCCCGGGGGAACCGTACCCCCGGGACCTCTCAGCCATTGGATCATCCATCTGTGGGTCCCACCACCACATCCATTAGATAGGAACCTTAGGGGTATGGTACCCGGGGTATTATAAACTTTCACCTTGGCCCATCCCTCCTTTTGCCCCTATGTGAACAAAAAATGGACGTGTGATAAAAGGCCACTAAATTCGGGCCATGAGAAAGTCTACAATACCCCGGGGGAACCGTACCTCCGGGACCTCTCAGCCGTTGGATCATCCATCTGTAGGCCCCATCACCATATCTAATGACTGACAACCCAAGTTATTATAGACTTTCACCTTGGCCCATCCCTCTTTCCACCCCATGTGGACAAAAAATGGACATGTGTAATACAAGGCCAAATGTTTTTTAGACTTAGCTAAAATATCTAGAAATTTTACATGGACACGACAAGAACACTTGTCCAATGCAATTTTATTGCATATTATGATTTAATAAAAAATAATATAAAATTTTAAAAAACAAAAACAAAACTCATCAAATATATATATATATATATATATATCAATTTTTATATACTTAAAAACATATAATTATTATATTACTAATGTAATCTACCATGGCCTCATTTATTTTATAAAAATTGTCATGTCGATCATATCCATGCTACATGTGCTCATTTGTGTTTCATTTCATATGTGATGTGATGTGAAGCCAACCCATGCATTGCATGGAAATCCTGTGTGTATAGCTATGTGCCCCTAATGAAAGCTTTAAAAGAGGACTCTAATTAGCCCTCCAGACAACAATAATATGTATAAAATTTACTTTAAATACTAAAGTACTACATCCTCACCATATGATCTTTCTTTTTCATTCACATGCACATCCACATCCACAACTTGTGCCATCTACACCAATGACTGGGTAAAAGACCACAGTTGACAAACAGTACTTCTAAAACCTCACTATAAATGACACACCACATTCACATACCATAAACCTGCATGCATGTTATATTTAAAGCCTATTAGTACCAGACTCCTCCATTAACAGCTCAAACTCATACCTGCAAGCTCTCCCCCAAAAACATTATTCGTTCTAGAGAGAGAGAATCAGTGAGAAAGAGAGATCTAGAGAGAGAGTCACGGAGAAGAAAACACATAATTTTTTAGACAGACAAACAAGTAAGAGAGATTGAGAGAGAGAAAAATGGGGCTGCACTTGTTGGTTTCTCTGATCATTACACTCATCATTGCATCCACCGTCAACTGCTGTGTCCCGGCCGACCGGGACGCTCTCTTCGCCTTCAAAGCCGCCGTGAACGAACCCTACTTGTCCATCTTCGATTCCTGGACCGGCACCGACTGTTGCACCAATTGGTATGGTGTCAGCTGCGACCCCACCACCGGCCGAGTCACCGACATCACCCTCCGCGGCGAGTCCGAAGACCCCATTCTCGAAAAGGCCGGCCGGACCGGTTTCATGACCGGTTCGCTCTCTCCTTCAATATGTAAACTCGACCGTCTCACCACCCTTGTTGTCGCCGACTGGAAAGCTATCTCCGGCCAAATTCCGGCCTGCATCACCTCCCTTCCGAATCTCCGAATTCTCGACCTCGTCGGAAACCGATTGACCGGCGCAATCCCCTCCGACATTGGAAAACTGAGTAAACTTACTGTACTCAATTTTGCCGATAACCAAATCTCCGGCGCACTCCCTCCCTCCATTGTTAACCTTGCCAGCCTGATGCATCTTGATCTCCGAAACAACCATATCTCCGGTCCAATCCCCGACGACATAGGCAAACTCACGATGATGAGCCGAGCTTTACTCAGTAAGAACCAACTCAGTGGGTCGATCCCGGGTTCGGTCGCCAACATTTACAGACTCGCCGATCTGGATCTCTCCACGAACCAGATCTCCGGTCCGATCCCTGCCCAACTTGGAACAATGCCGGTTCTCTCCACATTGTATCTGGACAGTAACCGGATCTCCGGCGAGATTCCGGCGACATTGTTGGGCAACACCGGTCTAAATATGGTGAACCTGAGCCGGAACAACCTCGGCGGTTCCATACCGGACGTTTTCGGACCGAAAACGTATTTCACGGCACTCGATCTGTCGTTTAACGGCTTCAAAGGTGCGATTCCGAAGTCCATATCGTCGGCTTGGTACATCGGTCACCTGGATCTGAGTCACAACCACCTCTGTGGGCCGATTCCGTCGGGCTCGGCGTTTGATCACCTTGAAGAGTCGTCGTTTTCCGGCAACGATTGTCTCTGTGGATCGCCACTGAAGACTTGTTAAGGTTTCGGGTCGGGTCGGGTAGGTGTTCGGTTCGTAATTTATATAATTTTATTGTTGTTTGTGATTTGTGAATTGTTAATTGTGTTTAATTTGAATTTTAGTATGGCCGTTAAGTAACGGTTATATGGTTATAGTGATTAATATAATTGCATGCACGTGTATCTGAGAGATTTAGAAAGAGAATCAATCAGGTTGAAAAAAAGTCATTTACTTCATTTTCTGTACACTTTATGAAATATTGGTGAATTATTTATGTATACGTTTCTCATTAATGGTTTAGAATGAATATCTTTGGAATAGGATAACTTTTTTCTTTTTCTTTTTCTTTTTTCTCATTGTATACCTTATTTTTTTATTTTTATAATATGTGTTTTTTTATTGGACAACATATTTTTACACTGTTATTGAAGAATAACTATTGACATCCACAATAATGTCATATTTAAAAAGATATTAAATTATGTAATTCAGTGACAGGACCAAATATATATAAATGTATCCCTCTATTGCATAAGAACTAGCTATGTCTTACATGTAAATATGATGTATGTATAAATTGTGATTTACTTGGGACCACCAGGACGGAGCCAATGAAGGCGTAGGGGGTACGTGCCAGCAACCTATAATATATGTGGTAATTTTTTTAAAAAAATTCATATATATGACAAAATTTATACAGTGCCCCCCCTCAAATTTATAATTCCTAAAATTATATTCTTATTTTTTTCTTTATTTTCTCTTTTACTCTTCACATTCCTTAAATTTCCTTAATAAAAAAAGTCAAATTTTTCTTCCTCAATTGAAACTTTTTAACTATTTCCTATTAAAGTTTTTTCATTTTTATTTTCCTTTTATATTTTAATAATTTTCTTTTTCTTTGTCTTTTTAAATTTTACCGTAATATTATTTTTTTTTTTAACAGTGTGCCCCCTCATTTTAAATCCTGGCTCCATCACTGGGACCACCAATATCTTACATGTAAATATAGTGTATATATAAATTGTAAGTTACTTGGGACAACCAACACCAAGTGCATAATATATATATACACACACACTTAATTTGCATGAACTCATAAGTTTGAACTAATCAACTTAAGCTACTTTCTAAACATTTTGAAATGTTTTGCTATCTATTGCCAAACTAAAAATGTTTTCTGATCAACCCTAGGGGAAACAAATGGAACTAGGATGGTTTAAAATTTTAATAAGATATATTTTCCTAACAACAACAACACAAAAGAAAGATGCAAATCATATTGCATTTCACCTCGTGAGAGTTTTGCAAAAGTATGGACCACTCAATTACCCTCACGTCCAATGGAAGAAAATAAAATCTATGAAAATTGTTAAAAAGTTGATCGGAAAATGCTTAAAATTTTACTAAGATAGGTGGATTAGTGTTTGCAAATATATAATTAAACCCTCAAATATACTTTTAGAGAATAAATTTTAAAAATAGATGTAAAGAGAAAAAGTTTAATGCAGTTGTCACGTATTCTCGTTTTTGTTTGTAACATTAATAAACAAAATCTGCTTTAAAAAATAATAAATAAATAAAAAGAAAATCTTAAGTTAAAAGAAAAGGAAGGAAAAAGAATTATTAAACAATGATTGGACTAAGAGACAGTATCAAACATGTGTGACTCCCCCATGTGACTTGCTCGTGGATAGAAAGGTGTTCGTTGGATCCACGTCACTAGCCTTGATTCCACTTTTATTACAATATTTGTCATGGCTTATATATATCTTTACCAGAAATCAAACCGAAGGGACAAAAAAGCCCAACAGGCCCAATCAGCCACAAGGTCCTCCCTATTACTATTCTTATATAACTAGAATTGGGTAAAAACTTTCAGAAAAAAAAAAAAAAAAAAAAAAAAAAAAAAGGTGAACATTTTTATGTACTCATGGTTAAGAAATTATTAACCTTTTTTACAATTTAATTTTGATAAGAAAAGTGAAAAAATATATATATAATAATGGAGGTGTGGAGGTGTTGTCCGAGTGATAAAGAGTCAGGCCTTAAGTGCGAATCCCCTTTTTCCTAAACCCCATTAACTCCAAAATCTCTAACTATTACCATGTTAAAATAAAAATTGTGAAATAATCATGGATATCTCTTGAAATTTAAGGATCAAAAGTGTGATATCAATTTTATTGACATAAAAGTGAATACAAATTTTCTATTATGAAAAAAAAAAAAAGGGTCGAAGAAAAAGAAAGCAAAAGCCATTTCCATAATAGCAGCGAGAGGATACAATGCCCTATTTATTTATGATTTCATGCACCTAGGGAGTTGAAAATAAGCATAGATTCGGAGATTTTCGTACCCTCTCGAACTTTGCTGCAAGAGAAAAAGAAAGCAAAAGCAATTTCCGTAGTAGCAGCGGGAGGATGCTCACATTAATAGTAGAACTCATGCCTCATTGAACATGTAATCCTATTTTTAAATTGGTTTATTCCGCAGCAACAAGTGCTTCACAAGTCTGGATATAAGGTTGCATGAATTGGGTTGTTGAATTTTTTTTATTTTTTATTTATTTTCCAAATGTTATAAACTAAAAAGGTCAAATATTCAATTCAAGGATAATGAGCAAAAAGGGCCCCATCGGAGGCATAGCTGCAAATTTAAAATAGACATGCTCTAAGGAGCTGATAGAAAGCCGAACCTTCAACCTTGACATACATCTTACCAAAGGCAAATTAAAAAGCCATCCCCAGAAATATATATATGTGTGTGTGTGTTGTGTGTGTGTGTGTGACGCCCACTAAATCATGCCCACCAGTTTATTACCAATCTGAAAAGCAGCAAAAGCTTCAGTGATTGCATACTTGACCTCTTCATGTGAGAAAACCTTTGCTTCCACATCTGAACTCTGGAATGTAAGTGTCAACCAGAGCAGCACGATCAACCACTCTTGTCTTGACCAAAACGCCATTCATTTCAATCCCATAGGGTGTGTATCATACTGAGCTAGGTTCTCTGATATTAACTTAACTTGACACAGTAGGGGGTGCAGTAGACTATATTCTGAATTAGATATACAGGACCACAACTTTTCGGGCATTTTATGGGCTACAGAACATGTATCTATGCATGTAGGTGGTCAACTATATACATATTCCAGAGCTGATATGTTCATTCCCCAATTATAAATTTTGATATGTCTCTCTATATACCTACATACAAAAAACAACTTGGAAGTTGGAACAGCAAAAAGCACAATTTTTTTTATGCTTGTCAAAATATATCTATTTATAGTCATTGGTTTTATGGGCAATACTTAGTGAATCTCAACTTACTTGGTCAGTCTTCGTCTGGTGCTTAGTGTCGTAGGTCATGATACATCCCTCTAACCAGCTAAGGGGTCAGTTCATTCATTTCACTATGGCTTAATGTGCCGTATCGTGTTAAAACATTTAATGTAGGCATTAAATAAATTCGACTGGACAATAATGGTGGTGGTTGGCACATGAAAGGCTCTGAGTAGAGAATTAACGGTGATTGTAACTTGTAAGGATCTTAGCCACAACACATGTCCATCATCTCGTCAACCAATTTAAAATCCTTCTACTGGGGAGCTCAACCCTAGTGTTGTGCTCAATGACCCACCCTGACATCAGGGTTTTCTTTGGACTTGGGGGTTTTATTTTCAAAATTTGGTGAGTGTGATTAGGGGTAAACAAATAATTCGTCAATTCGATTAGTGTAGTTTGGTTCGATTTTCAGATCTCATGATTAAGTGATAGTTTAGAAAAATAGTACTCAGTTATTCACAATTCGGTTAACGGATTGAGCCCTGAAAAAATCAATCCGAACCTATTCGAACTGTTGCCTAAATAATATATTAATACATTATAAATATATATATTAATATATTGAATATACTTACTATATTTTTATTTTTTTTAATTTATTATTCTATTTGGATAATTTATGTTGCCTGTTATTAAGTATATAATTTACAAATCTATTGCTCTTATTTAGTATATGATTTACAAATTTTATTACTATTAGTGTTAGCATGTTACCTTGTATATGATTTACAAATCTATATTATTTTTCTAGTTTTAATTTCTAGTTTTTAATACTAATTTGAGATTTTAATGGACTATAAAGTATAATTATATTGGGTTATTTGAAAAGTTCAATCCGTCCAAACCGATCCGTTATTTCACGGATCAATTTGGTTCAGATTTAAGATTCCCACGAATCGGAGATTGAACTTTATCTCAAACTGAATTGATTCAATTCGTGATCAGCCCTAAGTGTGACATCATTCCAGGGTATTGGCATTGAAGTAGGGATGGCAACGGGGCGGGTTTGGAGCGGGTTTCCCTAAATCCCACCCTGCCCTTTTTAATTTTTGCCAAGTCCATGCCCGCCCCAAGACCCTCGATGGGTTGGATTTTCATATCCAGCCCCGCCCCATTGGGAAATATTGTGCTCCCGTACTCGCCCCGCTAACAAATTTTTTTCTCCCACTTTTTAAAACTTAAGCTCCTGCTATTTGAATGTGGAAAGCCTGGAAATGGCACAATATAAATGAAATTATGTATCCTAACAAAAAAAAAATAATAACATACACATAAAATAATTCAGAGAACATAATAAATAAAAATAATAATTTAATACAACTAAATCACAAGAAGTTTTAAGCTCTAACTTTCACCATAATCAAAACAAAAGCAAATTTAATACCAAGTTTACGTGTATATATATATATATATATATATATATATATATATATATGCTTAGCGGGGCGGGGCGGGGCGGGGCGGGGCCCCTAGGATATGTATATTGAACCCTTACTCGCCCCGTGATCCGCGACGGGTACAAAATTTGTATCCATGCCTGCCCCAATGGTATAAAAAGTGTTCCCATATCCGTTATTAACGGGGCGGGGCCCCAGCGGGGCGGTAAAAATTGACATCCCTACATTGAAGTGATCAACTTTTCCGTCCAAATACCATAATAAGTCAAATCAAAAATAAAAATAGATAGTTTATAGTTTTAATTTTCGTTTTAAAACAAAGACTTTGGTTCTCAGTTCGACCCTACTGCAAATATATTATACAGTAGATTAGATTTGGTCAGTTTGGATCCGTAGGCTGTAGCAACCTTACCAGGATCCTAGCATGGGGCAATTGGCATTACTCCTAGTGCCCAATTAGGAAGACACCTGCAGCACTATACAGGCACGAACCAGCGATCGTGAAGACTCGCTTACCTGCTATTACAGGCCATCACATGACCTCAAATCCACCTT